ACGCTTCCACGGTCTGCCCCTGGAATCTGCAGAGCATTTATAGATCGATGAAAATGTTCGCGTTTCATCCTATTTAGCTGATGAATATGGTAGAATCAAAACTTACTGGTCCGATGTATGGAAAACCACAGCTTTTGACTGCTCTTATCACGTCTTCCCCAGGCTCTGCAGTTGTTTACAATATGTCAAAGTGCAGGTGCACCGTGCAGCTTAGGGATGAACTGGTTGCAGCAAATGTGTGGTGGAGGCACGTTGCTCAAAGCTCTCAGTGTAAAACATAGAGCCAAAGATCCCGTTGGCCACAGACCCAAAAACACTATGAAAACTGAGAAAAGTGAGAGATCGATTAACTGAAAGATAAACTATAGAGTATGTATATGTTTAGTGTATTTGTAAAGTAAATGTTTTTAATTTTTATTATTAAAATGAAAAATATTTCAAGAATATATTTTTAGATTTGGTGTATCTTTTCGTTCAGTAGGACTTAGATAAAGTTATTAAATATTACAGAGTTATTTTCTAACAGCCTACAAACATTTCTATGATTTATTAAAGATATTTCAGTCATTTTGATTCTTGACTTGTGAAAGCTGATTTGAAGTTTGTTATTTTTTCTAGCCATATTTAGAAGGAAAATTTCAAATATATTAAAATCAATATGGAACTATTTGGATTTTAGTAGCTTTCATGTTATGTGATTTAATAAAATTTTAATTTGACATTTATGTTCTCTCTCTTTGTTGTGAAAAAGTTAGATATGTTTTAGTACTTAAAATTAATGCTTTGCATCCGTCCACACGTGTAGCTGTTGGTCAGCTAATGGCCATGTCATTTCAGGACATGTTGCTTCAACTATTAACGATCTACTTTTAAATCTTTATTCTGAATTGCTTATTCCGTTTTAGGCCACAGTCTTGTTATTGAAATGAAAACGAAAAGAAAGGATGCTTATGGTGATGTACAAAATTGGCAAGATATTATTGTTGATCAATATCCTCCAGCTCCGTTCAACTGACAATATCCCATCTGTGTGTGTGTTGGTTCCAACTGTCAGCAGACCAGGACAGTTGAAATGGCAGAGAAACGAAAAACGGCAGACATCAGGTAATTTTTTAATGCTCCAGAACGTCAAATGAGTAGAAACTTGCATTTTGATAAAGACATCTATAAGAAAGAAATGAAATAACTATGAAATTGTTTTTAAACGGTTTCATTAGGCAAAGTCCAATTATGGGGAATTATGACACGTCTCTAAATAACAACCCATAGAAGCACTGATTTGATCTCATTTCAGAGAAAAATAGAACAGGCTAGATGCACCTAATAAATAAAATGACTAACAAACTCAGGAATCTGTTTCTTTGCTTCACTGTTCTGGTGCTGAAAATATCACTAATGCTGATCGAAGGAGATACACAGATAAATGCACCTCTTATTTATTATTTGGAGACTACATTTACTGCAGCTGGCAGAGGCAGAGATTTTTTCTATTGACACAGGGAATTTACAGAATCATTTAAAATTTTAATAGGGGAAGACTGCAGGAGGGAGCGGTAAAATACAGGGGGTCCCCAGCAAAAACAAGAAACTTTACGAGTCAGATGAAACCCGCTGGTTTTCCATCAGGCAGTCACGGGGCAGCTCCAACGACCCAGTGGCTCTGCTGGGTCAATGTTATCGAGCTCAGTCCGGCTCGGCCGTGAACGAGCCGAGGCGACGTCGTGCTCCGCTTAAGAAGAAGTGTTATTTTCCCGCTTCAGAAGAAGCATCCAATGTGTTTTTACGCTTTCTCCGAGACATGTCACGTCGCTAAGTTGTTAGCGCCGCGCGCTAAAACGTCAATAGTGCAACGTAGCCTGCTGGAGGTTTTAAGGGTTCAGATGAAACACCCGACCTCTCACGCTGCTCACACATCGATCTTAAGTTGTCGCTGTTGCGCTCACGCCGTAATACAGTATTAGATGCGGTTAAAGTCAGACACGAAAAAATAAATAAATTTTACATGAATAAGTGATGCTTAGCCTGGTGGGGGGAGGAAAACCTGGCCTAATAAGCACTGGAGGAAACCCTGTCAAGATCGTCAACACTCGTTTATCTTAACGCTATTGAAACATGTAAACCAAAAAGCATTATATCCACTGCTACCTTTCTAATTTTAAACTCAGTAACTTATGCTGTAACTTCACCTTGCCCTGCCTGCTCCTCCTTGCTGCCTGGCGGCTGTGATCGCAAGCGACAACATAGTAGTTCCCGCTGCTTCTTCGGGAAACAGCGCAAAACAAAAAATAAATAAAACTTGGGATCTTGTAGGCGTGGCGGTGGGATTTCAGCCGTGGCAGTCCGCCACGGCTACGCCTATGAAAGGGAAACCCTGAGTGCAGGGGCGGATTTAGCAATTTGGGGGCCCAAGGCGAACACAGACATGGGGCCCCTTACACTAAATTTTCGACAATCTTACCTTTAACTGGATTTGCGAAACTCTCCCCTCTTCTGACATGAGTTATTTTCCCTTTTTATTAGTCCTCCTCTTTTTTTCCTGTATTTCCCTCCCTTTGAGTGCTTTCAATATTTGCTCTGCTTTCTTTTTTCTGTCAGCGCTCCTGTGCTTTAGCCTTAGTTATTTTTTTTCTATTTTCCATTTTGGTCTGTTTTCCTCCCTTTAAACACTTTCCATTGTCTTTCCTTTCTGCTTCCTTTTGATGTTTACATCGAAAAACAACGTCACTTTCAGAAGTGAAGATAAAAGCTTTTATGAAGCAAGCTGCTTCTTTCTCTTATTGGAGCCACTAGGATAACTTCATGTCATGCTTAATGTTTTGACTATCGCTTTGAGTTTGTTACGAATGCTCCCGCCTCTCTTCTTATTCTTATTTGTGGTCTTATGGCACTTGGCAAACTACAATTTGGTGCATTACTGCCACCAACTGGATTGGAGTGGAATGACTACCAATCACTTCCTGTTTGTGCATCGCAGTCTTAATAACCCTCTTATGACCATAATTATAACAGGGCCGTCTGGTATTTTTTTTTATCTTATGGCTGTAAAATTGTAATAAAAAGTGCAAAGTGTGTGTAACTCTCTCCTTTTTTCAGAACAACCTCAGCTTTCAGTGTATGGTTTGTATTTCCAAACCACTTCAACATTTCACGAAAAGAAACGTGAAGCCACTTCTCCTCCAGCTTCACTGGCTGCCAGTCAACTTTAGGGTTCATTTCTTAATCCTGGTTCTGGTCTATAGGTTCTTACATGGACAAGCACCATCTTACATTGGTGATCTTCTTAGTCCCTACACCCCCAGCAGGTCCCTGAGGTCCAGTGATCAAAGCCTACTGTGCAGCACCAGGCTAAAGACCAAAGGTGACAGATCATCTGCTGCTGTGGCCCCCAGACTCTGGACCGCTCTCCCCCTGAGCCTGAGATCAGTGGACTCAGTGGTCTCCTTTAAAAAGCAGCTGAAGACTCACTTGTTCAGGCTGGCTTTTGTATGACCTTCTTCACCACTCTCTCTTTATTCTGCTCTCCCCACCTATTCCACCTTCCTCACTGATTTCCCTCTTTCCTATTCACTCTCTCTCTTTCTTAACATTTTTTCTTTTAAATCCCAATTGCCTGTTTTTGCTCATTTTAAATATATTTTTAAACATTTTCTAAATGCTTTTTTATATTTATATTTTTGTTTTTGTGAAGCCCCTCATGATTTTATCTTGAGGCACTATAGAAATGATATTTTCTTCTTCTTCTTTTTCTATTTAGAATGTATTTCTATTAAAGCCTTTAAAAAATCAGCTTAAAAGTGAAAAAAGCAAAAATCGGATTTGAATTTTTTACAGTTATTACTGAACAGGAACTTCAAAATTACTGGGCAAACAATTTAAACTTTGAACTGAAATGCATCTATTCTTAAAAAAGTTTGAACCTTGGTGTCTTGTAGCAGTTTTTAAGACTTTATTTTTGTAAACTTTCAGACGTTTTTATTTGATGTGGTAGACCTTGAAGCAGCTTCTCTCCAGCTGCAGGCAGAGTCACACCTCACACTGGGGTGCTTCTCTTGCACATCGTGCACTGCTATACCAAAAACATTTGTTTTAGCAAAAATAATTATTTATTGTAAAAAGATAAATAATGCTGGAATGATGCTGAATCTTACAATTAGCAAATAGTTGAGGGTTGTTCAAATAAAAAATAAAGACTGAACAAACGTTCATATCCTGGTTCACTGGAGATCTGTCCTTCTTCATGGTCACTGTCTTCAGCCTTCTGGGACACCTAATAGATCGTGTTGATTTTCTTTGAGGCATTTCCATAATTTCATGCTGGCTTTTTATGCTGATTAGCCTCCCCGTTCCGTTATCCGCTTTCACCGCGGCGCTGCGCTCCGTTTCAACCAGGCTGTACAGCAGGATTTCCCCTGGTAGCGATATTTTCCCTAACTCTGATTGCTTCATGCTATAGATCGTTGGAAAGCTGACTTTATGTACTTTTAGGAACCGTTGGAATTTCCTGGATCTGATCAGCCATTCAAAAGTTATAAAACGGAGCATTTTGGATGACAAACTCAGCATGTCTCTGAATCTTTGTTGTGATTCGGTGCGCTCAAGACAGGGAATCTCGGTGGCTACCGTAATGTATTGTATATGCACGAATAGCCCCATTTTTAATCTTTTCAGCACTTTTGGAATTTTAATGATATCTTGAACGGTTCAGGAATTATGGTAATGAGAAGTGCGCATGTCCAATCCCGTCTGCGGCAGGTTGGTAATAAGAGTATTGTGGCATTAACAGAGGGGTGCTGGCGGTCAGGGCTAGGGGGCCCCCCAACACAAGGGGGCCCCAGGCGGCCGCCTACCTATGCCTAATGGTAAAACCGCCTCTGCCTGAGTGTTGTATTTTGAGAGCATTTTTTTTCATGTCCCCCCCAAAAATTACTCTCTGAAGTTTTACTGTTTATTGTCCCCCCCCCAAAATTGAAATGGGATTTCCGCCCTTGCTGGGACAACACGAGGATCATAAACACAGAACAACAGAAATACAAAAGATGGATGAAGGAAGCTTTAGAGATAAGGAGACGTGGATGCGGGACCATGAACAGGGATGATGGAGTTTACTCGTTGGATCGCGCATGGGACTGCATCATCGGAGAGGGGAGAGCGGGCAGCAGAGGGCGACAACGTCCTCTGCTGGAAGTGACGCCAACATCAGCGTCAGCCTGACGAAGTTTGCAGCCGCAAACGAAACGTTGCAGGTAAATAAAACCTTTATGTGTTTAAAAAAGAACTAAAAGATGGTATCTATCTGTCTATCTGTCTGTCTGTCTGTCCGTCCGTCTGTCATTTAATAAATGTATCACAGAAGGAATACACAAAAGACATTCGCTGAATCAGGCTTTTTGAACCTTCATGGTTCCCGTAGTCTCCCCGTGCACGAGCAGAGTGTGCCAGTAATGTGTGTGAGTGGAGTGAACTGAACGAGCTAACGTTAAGCGCGGGTTTTCTTTTTGCCGCCTGGGTGGAGCCAAGCAGCGCTTTTGACGCTAGTGCGGAGCGCAGCTGTAGGGGAAGCATTTATTTGATGGGGGAGTGTGATTTGATGGTACACCTGTAGATGTCTTTCGCTCGTCGATTTTCCGGTAAAAGTAATGAATGACACTAGCCTGGCAAGCCAGACTATATATGTGAATATATGCAAAGCAAGAATTTGCAATTCTTGCAAAGCAAGAATTTGGTCTAGTTCACTAGGCTAGAATGACACGCCATCTTGTTCTCATTTGAAAGTTCTTTCCTGTGACACGCCAGCAGATGTCTGCAGCCAGGTCCTACTTATGCGTTACTGCCCTCCTGCCACTCTGTTCTCAAAGGACTTCCGTGTTTACCCTTTCCAGAGTCAGTTCATTGGATAAAAACACCCACTTAAACGCTGCCAGGCTTCTAATTTTGACTGCCCGTAGTTCATCGTTTTCGCATCCGGGTTTCCTACGTGAGAGTCAGCTGATAGCAGCAAGGTTGTGTCAGAGCTTTCCTCAGTTTCACGACGAGAGTTATTAAAATCAGGCTGTTTCTGAACAGGTAAACATGTCTACAAACCCCCCAAAGCTGAAGATAGAAATCACTTCGAACGAAAGGTGAGTGACAACAGGAGTGGTTGACTGTCCAGGGGTGGAGCAGCAGATGCATTATATGTGTGATTCATTCATTTCTTATTTATTTATTTATTTTTAATAATCTACAGGTTAAAAAACTTAAAAAGTGCTTTTGAAACAAAGTATGGAGAATCTCCCCTTTTCTATGCATATGCACCTGGAAGGGTCAATCTAATAGGTAATTCAGTTTTAATCATTGTGTAAGAATGTTTTATACATAGTGTATTCTATTGTTTTATCTGTAATAATTTTCTATTATTAGTTCACAAAATATACTGAAATATACAGAAACATGAGTGATCACGTGTTTTTTAGGGAGGGGTTATTCCTGTAGTCGAACATCTCTGTCCTGTTTGTCACTTTTTCCAGGTGAGCACATTGACTACTGTGGATATTCTGTGCTGCCGATGGCTATTGAGCAGAGCATCCTGGCAGCTGTGTCTTTGAATAACTCAGGGGAAATCCACCTGTCCAACACAAATCCTCAGTACCAGTAAGATTCCAGCCTTTAGCAACTAGGGCTGGGCAATAAATCGAAAATTTATCGTTATCGAAATTTCTGACTCTTATCAAGATAATTTTTCCCATGTCAATAAATTTGACAATAAAAAAAGAAAAGATGGTTGACAACATTCATGTCCCTTCAAGAAGCTGTACCACCTTGAGTCATGTAAAAATGACTCAGCGTAACACGTGACAGCCCCATCTAGTGGACAACTTTTGTTTCTGCTCATACCTGTATCGATCATTTATCGTTACTGACATCCTCAATATATCGTGATATTGATTTTAGGCCATATCGCCCAGCCCTATGATATACTTTTATTTTCCTTTTCCAAATGTATTTCAGGGGTTTAAAATCCTTTTGAATTTACAAAAAAAAAAAAAAAAAAAAAAATCTGAAAGCCTCATTTCTGTTGGTTTGCAGGGATTTCACTGTGTCCTGCTCAGAGGACATCACCATTGACAAAGACAATCCAAAGTGGTTTTATTACTTCCTCTGTGGGGTCAAAGGTATCCAGGTAAGATGTGCTGGTTATAGCATAGCCAGCATAAATGATGTGTAATATATCATTTACGTGAATATTGTACACTATTAAAGGAACATATCTGTTTTATTTTTCCCTCCAGGAGAAGTTTGGGATCACTCGTTTGGCAGGAATGTCGTGTGTTGTAGACGGAACAATTCCTCCAAGTTCGGGTCTGTCCAGTTCAAGTGCCTTAGTCTGCTGTTCTGGTCTTGTTACCATGGAGGCCAACCAGAAGTCCCTTTCCAAGGTAAGGTACTTGAACCAGATCTCCCAGTCCCCTTTGAGACAAAACGTAAATAATTGAGACTATAAAATATGACTTAACTCACTCTAATAAACAACTTTCATGCCATCAAAGGGTTTTTGAAAAAAGCACATTTGCTTTTTGGAGATTTTTTTTGGTGGTTATCATATTTTTTTCATAAAAACCCCTCTCCAGGTGGCTCTAGCTGAGATATGTGCTAAATGTGAGCGCTACATCGGGACAGAGGGTGGAGGAATGGACCAGTCCATATCATTCCTGGCAGAGAAAGGAACTGTATGTAGCTTTGTTCCCATCAAAACATTTCTAGAAGCACATAAAACAATACATTGATCACCACAAAAGCTCTGCTATGTTTGCGAACACTTTATAGCATTTTGCATACTTTGATTAGCTGTTTTGTCTCTCTTTTAACATTCTCAAATGTGTCTCAGGCCAAGCTGATAGAGTTCCAGCCTCTGAGGGCCACTGATGTCCAGCTCCCAGAGGGGGCTGTGTTTGTGATTTCCAACTGCTGCGTTGAGATGAACAAAGCTGCTTCTTCTCACTACAACATCCGTGTGGTGGAGTGTCAGATAGCCACAAAGGTACGCAATCCTGCCCCGTTGGTTGCTGTAGGTGTAAACTTACTCATTAACATAAGAAAACAGCCTTAAATCTTAACAATGTCTAAACAAGCATAATTCCATTATACTTCTTTGTGAATCCAGATGCTTGCTCGGGCGAGAGGTCTGGACCCGAGTGGGCTGTCGAAGCTGGCTCAGGTTCAGACGGAGCTGAAGGCCTCCCTGGAGGAGATGCTGGCTCTGGTGCAGGAAGTGTTGGATCCTGAGCCGTACAGCCGAGAGGAGGTCTGTAAGGTGCTGTGCGTCACCCCAGAGCAGTTCTCCACCGAGCTGCTGAGCGCTAACACACAGCACCGTAAGTGACTATACACGTCTTTTTGTTTTTCCTCCTGTGGTTGTAGCCTTATTTATAAAGTAATAGCCCTGTCATACATTTTGATTTCTGTCTTTGATTTTGTTTATTTTTGTATTGATCAATTTTCCTGAATTTTCTTTGGCATTTTAATAAAACAAATCTAGTTGAGTAGAATGATCTCTTTTCACTAAAACTCAGTACAAAGCACCTCACGATTTTTATCTTGAGAGGTGCTATAAATATTTTCATCTAAGAAATACTATTTAATATCTCATTTGATTATCAGGTTAGGATTTATTTAATGATTACCACTGTTTATGGCTGCATCAGAATCTCTTTTAAAAGTGGATAAAGCTTTTCCTCCTCTCTCACAGTCACACACTTCAAGCTGCACCAGCGGGCCAAGCATGTTTATGGAGAAGCGGCACGGGTGATGAAGTTTAAGAGCATTTGTGATTCTGGGTCTGCTGAGTCCATAAAGCTCCTGGGAGCGCTGATGAATCAGAGCCATGCAAGCTGCAAAGACCTGTATGAGTGCAGCTGTCCTGAACTGGACCAACTGGTGGACATTTGTCTGTGAGTCCTGCTAGATCAATCAAAATTTTATTTGTAAAATAAAATATCACTGATTCTGACATTTCTTAAAATATAAACCAAAAGAAGCTTTGAGTTTAATTTGCAAGATGAGCGAGTGAAATAATCATCACCTCTTATGTATATAAAGTCATAATCGTATGTGTGTGTATATATATATATATATATATATATATATATATATATATAATATTATTTATTTATTTATAATGGAATTATTTATTTTTTCAGCTGTCAAAATAGTTTCTCTGCTAATTTTCTTTTAATTTAATTTTGGAGTTAGTTTTCAAAAGAGAGAAATTCAGGGTTCTTACACATGCTTGAAATCCTTAAAAATGCCTGAATTTTATTGTGCTTGGAAATGTAACTAAATAGTTATTGGTCATGGATTTTATCAATATGTTTATCAATAATAATCAAGAATTAATAAACAAAATTTCCATAACAGTTATGCAATAGCATTCTCTATTACAAGGGGAAAAAAAGAATTAAATTACCTCATTTCGGGCACATATGTTTTAAATCTTTACATTTCCCCTCGAAAGTTCTTGAAAGTGATGTGTTTGAATCAAAATCAATTTATTTTCATCTAGTGCCACCGTGTGGTTGAACCTTTATATGTATAAGAAACATTTTTAATCACCAACACTCAGTAACATTAGCTTCAAGTGCTAAATAGCACAGTTGATGCATGCTATAGTATTACCTAGATGAGCATGCTAACCATTAGCAGTTCTACTATTTCAGAGAGAGAGAGAGAGAGAGAGAGAGAGAGAGAGAGAGAGAGAGAGAGAGACGAGAGAAGAGAGAGAGAGAGAGAGAGAGAGAGAGAGAGAGAGAGAGAGAGAGAGAGAAGAGAGAGAGAGAGAGAGAGAGAGAGATGAGAGAGAGAGAGAGAGAGAGAGAGAGAGAGAGAGAGAGAGAGAGAGAGAGAGAGAGAGAGAGAGAGAGAGAGAGAGAGAGAGAAGAGAGAGAGAGAGAGAGAGAGAGAGAGAGAGAGAGAGAGAGAGAGAGAGAGAATGTGCAGAACTCATTTGTTTGATGTATGATTAGCCCAGGTTTTTACCTTTCTAAGCTTTTTGACATAGTTGTCTGCAGCCAAGTGATCAAACATTTTTGCTGCATCCCTTTCTGCCGTGATGGTTACATTTTCTTCTTTTTATAATCTTTCATGCTATCCTGTGCTTCGCTTATTCACCCACTCTACATTTTTCATGAGGGTTGATATTACTGAAAGTTGATGATCAGCTGGAATATTGACTCTGTTTGTTCTGCTGGCAGGAAGTCTGGGGCTGTTGGTTCTCGGTTGACAGGTGCAGGTTGGGGAGGCTGCGCCGTCTCCATGGTTCCCAGTGAGAAGGTGGAGTCTTTTCTACAAGCTGTCAGGAATGCTTACTACATCCCTGACCCACGCAGAGCAGCGATGGAGAAACAGAGTTTGTTTGTATCAAAGCCTGGTGGAGGAGCTGCAGTTTTCATGGAGGAGTGAAACTCACATTTGTTTGTTTATATTGAAATACTTTAAAATCAACTGAGTGATTTTTTTTCTTTTTTTATGTGCAAATTTCAGGAGATGGAAATGACTTGTTAACCTCTATTTTTCAGGGGGAATTTAAGGGCAAAAAACACCTCAGTGATTTGATTTTTGTATCAAGTAGTTATTTTTTTAAACTATTTTTCATTTATAATGTCTTGGAAATTCATTTCTAAAAATAATAAATCAATTGGCAATATATAAAATCCTGTTATCCTTTATTGAAGAATACATTTATTAAAAGCCAAAAAAGATATTTTAACAATGACTTAAACACAATTTGTTCTGATTTAACTGGGGTTACACCCCAACAGAATAATAAATGTTTTTAATGTGTTCATTAAAAAAGTCTGAGTGAGAGTTTTAGCCTTGCATTCCAGTTTTACATTTTTAAATACATTCAACAGAAATCAAACAAAGCCATACAAGGCAAAGCACAGTGAGGCTGATTCACACCTACCAAACATTTTTGTTTTACCAACGGCATAAACCAAGGCTAAATGTAGAATTATATGGGGTTCCATTTGTAAAGTCATGGAGTAAAATATAAAAAGCAGTATTTTGGGTTATTTAGCCCCTCATAACAGAAAAATGGGGGTTCAAATCAGGTTCTCACCATGTTATTCATACAGTTATAAATGTTAAAATTCCCAACTAAATATTTAATTTGCAAGCTAAACATTTAATTTGGAGTTAAATATTTATTTTACAAACAAACAAATTTTCAGGTCAGAACTGGATATTTAGTTTGTAAATAAAATGTATTTTATTTACTAAATATTTAATTTGGAGGTAAATATTTTGTTTACAAATTAAACTTGGCTCTAAATCAAATATTTTCCTAAATAAATATTTAGATCCCAGCTAAATATTTATTTTGAAGGTAAAAATGTACTTTGCAAGTTCAATATTTAGGTATAGCCCCATAATAAATATTTAGCTGGGATCTAAATGTTTACTTTGTAAACTAAATATTTTGGAGCTAAATATTTACTTTATAAAGTAAATATTTAGTTTACAAACTAAGTATTTAGCTCCAAATTAAATATTTATTTTCTAACAAAATATGTAGGTCTGACCTAAATATTTAGTTTATTAAATAATTATTTAACTCTAAATAGTTAGCAAGCTAAATATTTAATTTAGGATCTTTAACATTTATAAATGTATGAATAACAGAGAAAATATGAAAAATTAACTCCCATTTATTTTTCTTATGACAGGCTAAATAATCCAAAATACTGCCGTTAAGTTATGACTGTTCCACTTTACAAATGGCACCCCATAGTATTAAACGCAATACTTTGTGCTTTCTGAAATTATTTTTGATTTCTTCTGTGTGGAACAGATAAAAAATAGTTTGTTTTTGTATGCAGACACTAGGACTGGATCCCTCAGATATAACATTCACAGTTCATACTGATATAAAATGAGGTACATTTGTGTTGACGATTTGAGTTTATTGTTACTCAAATGAAGGACACTCGTAGCTTGTGCTTGGGTCTATCAGATCCATAAATATGGGATTCTATTCTGACTGATTAACTTTAACAGTTCAGTCTGTTCGCTGTTGCCTTGGAGTCTTTGTGGCACTGGAGTTGCCTTCTGGTGCAGCGATGAATTCCTGGGAGCTGCAGGAAACTTCATTCTTTCTCTTTAGCACATTTCCTATCCAGTTGGAGCCATTTGTTGTTTTTTCCAGGGAGCAAGCAGACGAGACTGTGCTCCTTCTCATGTTTTTGCCTGAGGTGATCAGCTCTCCGTAGCCCTGCTGGTGGGAGAAGGCATAGCCGGAGCGCCTGGAGCTTGTCCTGCGTACTCTCCTCAGGCTCTGCTCCTGCGGGCCGTGCCTCTTCCTGGACTGCTGTAAATAGCGAACCTGTGAACCACAGTGGCCATTTTCTTATTAATTATTAAAATCTAATATTTAGGCATTTTGTACGAGAAGAGCTACTCCTGTCCATCACAGCTGCTTTACCTTATCTGTTAAAGTTGAGAAGAGGTCCACTTTCAGAAAGCTAACTACTAAACCAGGCACAACACACACTGTGGTGGTGAGGAGGATGACCAACCACACCCCCTTCTCTGAAAGACAGTTATAGGCTGCGCCTGTGACGAGACACAAACCCAAAGTTATTTACGCATCATTTCCATCCATCAATAATGTCCCACTGAGCTAAACTCACCAATAAATGGGAAATTATTTGGAAAAAGCCCAAATAAGCCATAACTTTGCATTGAAAACAAAATGGCAAAATACACAATCAGACTCCCCCAAACAAAGAGATGATTGACAGCTGTCCAGTAGTGGGTGTCGAGTCCAATCTGTTAGTAGAAAACGTCACACAATTAATCGTAGAGTCTCATTTTCATTTATGACACTACATCTGTTTATTAAGAAACTCACCTGAACACTTACAACGATAACCAATGTGGTCGCTATGGTGACAGCAAATGTTTGCTGGTCTGAGAAGTTGGAGCCATCTTCTTTTACCACAGCAGAGAAGGCTCCGTAGGGAATGAAGAAGAGCAGGAAGGATGTAGTCACCCCCTGCAGCGTGCAGAGGAAAAACTGCCGTTTGTTGAAGAGGAGGTTCTGCTGGCCGGGTTTGTAAAGGCTTGGGTAGCGAAGGCTGTTCTGGTCGTTGACGTCCTATAAAAAACACAACATGTTATATTCTGTTAATAATTAGAAAGCCATGTTATGATAGGAATTAAAGGAAACCATTTGCAAACAAAGTTTGCAAAAACTGTATTAGTTACCTGATCAAAAAGTCCCATTGCCAGTACTGGTAAGGAAGTATAAATAATATTGAATAAGGTGATAAACCACTGGTCGTACACGGCCTATGGAAAGAAAACCCATTATCTACCTACTGGCACTTTCAACAAACATGTTCCACAACAAGTTCTGTCTTCTTACCTGCGCTGAGAAACCACAGAAGAAGCCGTACCAGAAGTGAACCAGGGTAAAGGCAAAGTTTTTGTAGAAGAAATAGCCTAAAAAGTTACACATCCTGAAGTAGGACCAGCGTCCGTGAACCAGCAGCAGCCTCCGCAGGTACTGGAACTGAGCGAAGGAGTAATCCGACGCCAGAACGGCCTGCATCCCCTCCTGTCCGCTGATGCCAACGCCGATGTGAGCAGCTGAGAGAACACATAAAGGGGGTCACGGCCCTTAAAACATTGTGAAAGAAAATTTAATTGACACTAATAGATTAGTGATAGTACTCTAAACCAGACACATGCTGAAGTTTTGATTTGCAGAAGAAAAGTCTGCTAGGCTTGAAATACCTAGATGTTCTTATTTCTGAAAAAGTCAGTAACTCAATGTAAATGAGGCAATTTTGTAATGAAGTTTGACTTCTAACAGAAAAAAACTATTTTTTTCTCAACATTTAGTCTTTTCATTGCTGCACAAAAGTCCATTTTATAAAACATGTTTCAGCTTAGACTCATTCTTTCTGTCCCAGTGCGATTCATACAAAGACCAAAGCAGAATAAGGGACATAACCAGTCACTGTTATGCCTTCGGGGGCAAGCGAGGGATAGCCTAGACCAGTGGTTCTCCATCCTGGTCTTGGGAGGGCTGATATCCAGCATGTTTTAGTTTTAACCCTGTTGCAACACACCTGATGGACTGGGTCATTTAAAAACACCAGGATATGTTTGACAGCTGTACTGGGACTCTGTCGATTTGGGTTTTTCGGAAGAGCTCAGTCATCGATTGGGAGCGGAATTTGAAGGATTACGATTTGTTTCTGGATTTTGATGAAGGATTTCGGATCACAGACTTTGGAGGTTGGCATAAGCTGGTGTGTGAATGGCTGGAATGGCGTCTCAGGAAGAGGATGAGGATGAAATGGATTTTGGTGAATGGACCCGGGTTTCTAATGGTGGAAGATCGGGTAGAGGAAGAACCAGGAAAGATGGGGAAAGTGTGTTTGGGTCACAGACCAGTAAATGGAGTTTAGAGGAGATCAGTTCTGATGAAGGAACAACTGTTGTCTGGAAAAAGATAGTTAGAGAGGGATTCAAAATAATCGTGAGGTTCAGGAAGGAAGATGAGAAAGTTCAGTTGAGCCCAATTGCTTTGTCGAGAGAACTGAAAAAAAAAAGGTTTGGGGAGGTTCAACTGGCTAAAATTCTAAGGGATGGAAACTTGCTGGTAGAAGTAAAGACAGACAAACAAAAAAGAAAGTACTAAACATTGAAAGTATTTGTAAGAAGATAGTGAGTGGGAGAATTTGATGTATGTATGTATTTGTATATATATGTGTATGTATGTGTGTGTATGTTTGTGTATATGTGTATTTTGTTTTCTTTCTTTCCCCTGTTTGATTTTGTTTTATGAGCGCTGTTCCAGACCACACTCCACACTAGTTGGTGGCAGTAATGCACCATTCGTTGTTTGCCAACCGCCAATAAAACACCAGAAGAAGAAGAAGAACACACCTGATTTCAAGGTAATTAACAGGCATCTGCAAAGCTTGATGAGCTGCAGCACAGGTGTGTGTGTGTGTGTGTGTGTGTGTGTGTGTGTGTGTGTGTGTGTGTTGAAGCAGATAAACAACTAAAACTAAAACCTATTGGCCCTCCAGTACCAGGATTGAGAACCACTGGCCTAGACAGACCATAGCAGCAGAAGCAAAATGATTTTGCTCAGCATGTTGATCTAGCCACGTTCCATTAGAGCCTCATCAGGCCCGAACAGTCTTGTGTTATGCCAATCACAGAGCTCTATCGTTTTGGTGGACCTGATGTTGCCCTGTAGACTGATATCTGAAGCAGTGAGTATTTCACATTGTTCATTGTCCAATAGCATGCGGAGACAGTTTGATAACCCGAGCTAACGCCCGTTACTCTCACCAACACCTCCGCCGACACCGTCCTGGTCCCTCATATGCTCCAGGGGATAAGGTCTGGGCGTCCACGGCAGACCTCCGTGTCCGTGCCGGGTCCAGGAAGCTCGCTCCCCGGTTCCTTGGGCCTTACCCCGTGCAAAGGGTCATCAACCCGGTCACGTACCGGCTGCGGCTGCCTGCGAGTCTCCGCATCCATCCCACCTTCCATATCTCCCGGCTCAAGCCCTACGTGGAATCCTCCCTCCTTCCGCCTCCGGCTCCGGCGCCTCCGCCTGCCCGCTTCCTCGACGGTGAGCCCATCTACACCGTCCGGCGCATCCTGGACGCTCGCCGCAGGGGACGGGGCTGGCAGTATCTGGTCGATTGGGCGGACTACGGCCCTGAGGAACGCTCCTGGGAGCCGGCCCGCTCCATCTTGGACCCTGCCCTTGTCTCTGACTTCTGGGACCGCCGAGGTCGCCCTGGGACTTCTGGAGCCGTCCCTGGACCGGGGGGTCCTGTCAGAACCCAAGCCCCCAAACCGGCCTCTCCCAGCTAACCGGCCTCCATCTTGGACCACATTTCCCAGCATGCTCCTCGCGGGAACTCCCGGCATTCTCCCAGTCACACCCAAGCCTATATATGGAAGACGCCGCACCGGCTCTTCACTCAGTCATCGTTTCATTGAAACCCCTGATCAGAGTTCTCTACCGAATAATCCAGACGTCAAACATCCTTACCAAGTTCAACTCCCGTACCCAGTCGACCATCGTGACACGTAGCACCAAATTCTGGGCCCTAGGTACAAGTCTTCTAGGTGGGCCCCCATGCTCAATTACTAATATCTCTCTTACACCTTTTTTGTCATGCTATAAGACAAGATAATAAACATGATCTTAGTTTAACCTCTATATTGAGCAAATACAAATGCCAACATAATAAAAGTGAAATGCCCAGACTTCACATATAATTATTTTTATTTGCCAACAACGTGTTCAAACAAAAATCCTGGAATTTATTTTCCAGTAAATGCCCACTGACGGGTCTTCATGTTAGCAAAATCACTTATGAGATCTTTAAAGTCCAATCCTTTGGCTAAGTGACTTTCAATAGAAAGAAGAGCTAGGCTGTTCAGTCTATCCTGGGACATTGTTGATCTCAAATAATTTTTCACCAGTTTCAGTTTGCTAAAAGCCCATTCACCCCCAGCAACAGTCACAGGTAGTGTGCAAAATATCCTCAGTCCAATACAAACTTCTCCAAAAATGCTCTGTAATTGCATCCTGTATAGATGGCATTAAGCAGCTCAAGAGGAGACCGAATGTGTGGAAATGTCGCACCATATATTGTTCTCAGGTGTAGCATCTCATTCTCAAATTCAGCTGTGAGATCCTTGTAATATTTTCTCATCCGTGCCTGCCATGATATCTTCATCTGCTCTTCAGTCATGTCTGTCATGGTTCATGATGTTAAGCTTTGCTAATACTGATATATATTGATATATTAAATACATATGACATGAAATAAACCAGGTTCTCTCTGTGAATGTAATGTACTCTAAATTTTATAATCCCTGCATTATCAGCCAAATTATAAGATTGTCCGTTTTCAAGATCAAATATAAAGAAATTTAAAATAGGCTTTAAAATATCTAACCAAGTCAATAACAATCCTCTAACACCAGTGTCATCATGCTATACAAAAAACAGTGGCACTGGCAGCTTCTCATTCCTGAGATTACCACAAATCCATCGATACCAAGTTTGTCCTGGTCCATGACTGGGAAGGAGCTGAAATATCCACACAGAATGAACCTGTTTTTACCGCGATGTCCGCGAATTAATTGGCGGCGTCTGCCCGCGATAATAATTCTGATTAATATATATATTAATTAGTGTTTTCACTGATAACACTAATTAATATATATATATATATATATATATATATATATATATATATATATAAATTAGTGTTTTCACTGATAACACTAATTAATTTATATTTGATCTTGATGGTGAAACTAAAGGCGTTTAACACTGAACACCTAACATGAATGCAGCTTCTGAGAGCTATAACTGTTCTGCTGTTGGCTGCTGCTCACCTTCCTTCTTGAAAAACCTAGTCAATACTTGCTTCTGTTCAATTAACCTTTTCTCCTTCTTTTCTTTTCTTTTCTTTTCTGGAAGCCAGATTTCCCCTTCTTGGGAAAAGACATGACTGACTCTCCTGCCTCCAGCTCTGGCTGTCGGCATCTGCGATGTCTCCTTAGCTGTACATGCAGCCGTGCAGCCCCTGGCCGCTGGTGTGGACTAAACCACTTTGCACATTTTTAAGGGGTGATAGATGCCTCAGAGATTGTTCAGTTATTATTTTTAAGGCGACATTCTGTTTCTTAACCTCTTTATCCAGGTATAGGGACGTTTATTAAGACATTAAGTAAGTTGGGGGAAAAAACAACAACAATAAAAAAAATTATTCAAAGCTGTCTCAGGGCCCCTCCCTGCAGTGGGCCCTGGGTAAACGGTACCCCCCCCCCCCCCCCCCCCCCCGTCCGACGCCCCTGGCTTTTGGACAAGTTGTCAAGGGTTTAAAACAGGGGACAGATGAAGTCGTGGCTCTCAGATGTATAGGATGACAAGGGATCAGATACCAGAGAAGCCAATTTATTAAAACATCTCAGGGAGCTGAACAGAACAACCTAATTATGTTTATTTATTTAGCAGACGCTAAAAGCGACTTACAATTTATAACCTATAGGGCATGTTGTGATCTGTGGGGGAAACCGGAGTACCCGGAGGAAACCCACGCATGCACGGGGGAACACACGCAGAAAGGCCGCAGCCGAGTTTCGAACTTGCAACCTTCGTGCTGCGAGACAACAGTGCTAACCACTGCGCCACCATGCAACCTTACAGTGTAATCAGGAGTTTATATTGTTCAGAAATTTCTGGAAAACGGTGCTTTTGGTGAGGTTTACAAGGGTTTAAAACAGGGAACAGCTGAAGCAGTGGCTCTAAAATTTATCACCATGCATTAAGTTAATCGATCACTTTGAATATAATGACAGCTTCTGTTTAGTGTTTGAAACATTTGGTTTATTTCAAATGAGAGAGGGGAACCACTAGATGTCAGTCAAGTCCAGGTGGTTTGCCCACGACCTGCTGGTGGATCTGAGTGAACTCAAAAAAGGAGAAGACAAATCAAAATACACCTGATTTCATTGTTACACAGACTTTGGATACAGAGGTTAATTCTGATGAGGAAACTTCAAAGAATGGAAGCATTCAAAAGAACTCCCTGTAGTTTGAGGTATGGTTGTCATGGTAATCGGTGTAACGGTAAACCCCGGTAAAAAAGTTGACAATAATAATAACTGTCTTGTTTAAAAAAAAAAACTATATTATCTCTGTGGATTACCGTGGCTGGGTGTATGGTAAAGACCCTTACCAGCCACCGTATCATCTGCTGAAGTTGCCGGCGGCACATGCGCACTTTGTTGTTTACAGCCAAAACTTTCTCGAAGCTAAAGCTGAAATAATGGCCAAAGGAGGAGACCGCAGTGCTCAGGACATTTATTATCCCTCAAAGAAGACAAAGAGGGAAGTATGTGCATATTTTGGATATTTGAAGAATGCCGAGGGACAGTTGATAGAAGACGGCTATCCTCTTTGCAGCACGTGCAGGAAAAAGTGTCTGTGAAAGGCAGCAACGCTTCAAATCTCATGACACATCTGCGTGACCATCACCCACAACTCTACAGTCAACGCAAGGCAAGTTAGCGTTAGCGTTTTAGCTAAAATGCGTGATCCGAGGATTTGGGTTGAGGGAGAATGCAACGAGTCGCTATATAAAGCAGCCGCAGCGCCGCTACCTTCATATAAACCGTGTCGTGGACACCCCCATGTTGAAATGACGCTATGCATTACGGGGATCCAGGGACAGATAAGAGTTGGTTTCTCTCCGAGAATAATTATGAATTTATCAATGATTACTGCCTGATGACATTTCCCCACATCTGCAAAGCTCACTGGAAGGACACAAACCGAGGACAATATTTTCCTGATACAGGGTTTATTACTCAAGTAAGGGTAAAAAAAAAGTATCTGATTAGAAGGCTACTTAAGTACTGAGTATCATCTGATCTAAACTTTTTTAAATGATGACATCAAACAGACAAAAAATAAGAAGTTATGGGCAAATATTGGTATTTTAAAGACTAAAGGGGAAATATGTAAACAAATAAACAACATAATTACAAAATAACAAATTGTAGGCAAAATTTAGACAAACTGAGGACAATATTTTCCTGATATACAGGGTTTATTTAGTTTCTTGAAAATTTTACATGTTTAAAAAAATACCGCAATAATACTGTAAACCGTGATAATTTTGGTCACAATAACCGTGAGGTTAAATTTTCACAACGTGACAACCCTAGTTTGAGGTTGTCACCGTCTGTCAAGGGGAAAGAGTAATAAGACATAATTAGGATGCAGTTTAAGTTTTAATAACTTTTATTTCTATCTAATACATTTCTAACTTTCCCTTCATGTAAAGATACAGAAAACATTCTTAGTGAGTTTAAACTAGTGTCTCATTCAGCTTTTTAACTTTCAGTGCAGTTTTAAATATTTGAAAGAATTCTATTACAATAATGTCCGTCTGTGAACATCAGAGTGGTAGAGGACAAACGAATCTTCATGAGAAACATTTTTAACTTCATTTGTCCATGCAGCTCTTTAACTCGCTCCAACTCCAGTTACTAATCCATCCCAACTAGAGGAAGCTGTTTTTATTCTGAGACGACCATGGTGAGTTTAGAGATGTAGATCATTTGACAGACAGCAGCAGCATTTGGCATATCATCAGTAAAGTAAAATGTGATCATGAACATGAGTAATTATTTCATTTTTTCAGTTAAGCCACATGATGCTGACTTCCGTGACCTGCTCAAGCATGCTACACACTCAGGATAACCATGGTAACACGACGTGTCTTCCAGAATAACCAGAGCTGAATCAGGACGTCTGAACAACAGAACCTTCACAACATTGGTACTTACTGCAGGACTGTTCATTTGCATCTGTTAAATAATTTACCACTTATGGTCAGGTTGGGATTAGAGTCTTTACTTGAAGACAGAACAAGAAGAATTATTAACAATGAAATATCAGCATGAATAAATAACTAGATCATTAATTAAAAAGTTTCAGGTCAAACTGCTGCCTTTGCATTCATGTCCATCTTCATGTATTCACATGATCCTGAGTGGTGATGAGCAACAATCAGTTGGTTGGAAGCAGCTGGTCTGGTCAGTGATGGAGTAAATGCTGGTAAGTGGAGTGGTGCAGCTGGCTGGGTGATGGGGCCTTTTACAGGATCACTGGTATTAAAAGGAATGGTAAGGGAGCTAAAATCCCTCCAAAAACACCACCCATCTGTACTGGTGCTGGAGCGTTGGTGGGGGTTTGCATGTTGTGGTGCTAGATTATGTGTTTCTTTGTTTTTGTCTCTTTTCATCTGGGTTCTGGTGTCAGAGAGAGGGATCCTCTAGTCCTGAAGAAGTCTGGAGCTTGCTGAGCTCACTGAAGCAGAAGTTCTTTTGTGGGGTCTCGTGAGACTAAAACATGTCAATGCCGACTGTAAATGTTTGTGCAGGTTGAACTTATCACACAGTTTTCTGTTATTATGATCTCTGGCTTTTAATGAAGAAATAAATAAAAAATGTTTTTCTTTTTGACTCACATATGTTGTTTTCTAATAAGGTTTTAACCAGAAATAGCTTTATTTAAATTAACATTTTAATAAATTTGTTACTATTTTACACTAGTTGTTAGGCTGGAAGCACAATCAGCAGGGTTATAGATGCATTTACAACCACACGTTTTCCCCCCAAGTCATTAAAAACGTGTTTTAAATGAGTTTAGATCATCTCATGTTCCATCTGACAGCAGGCAGAGAGAACAGACAGACTGAAGATTAAATCCTGGAAACAGTTATCTCTCCTGCTTGGTAGATCTGAAGGAACTACTGACATTAAAGTTTATATTAAGACAAAAAGAAGAGCATCTATGCTAGCATGCAGAGAACAGAAGCTCTCAAATTATAAACCACATTCTTTCATTGATAGGTGTATTCTATAAACACTCATTTTTATACAATTATACCTATTTTAGCTAAATACGATCTGTAACCCACGTGTTTTCTACGTTTTGTTTGCAATATACCTTTTAAAAATATAAAGCTGATAAATGTTTGTGGCGCTCCAAAAAAATGCTTTGATAAAATACATAATTAGTGTAATAATAACCATACATTATTCGTCAAAAATATCTGTAGAAATGAGAAAAGGGTCGTTTTAGCGTCGAGTCCGGCCAGAACCGCTCATGTTGACTAGCAACGCTGAGCTGACTATTAGCATTAGCAACTAAGGGCAACGTAAATCACGTGACCACTGGGTGCTTTGATTACGTCACGTGACCACTGATGACGTCACTACTATGCGTCGTCATATAAAGGTCAAATCAGATTCCAAATATCAGTGTGAACAGATCACAGCTCCAGGGCGGTTGCGTTACATAAACGTCTCTTCTGACAGTATTTAGAAGGACTCATTCTCTTGCTGACAGGAACTTTGTGAGTAGCATATCACAGTCAAAAGCTGAAATCAAATCAGTTTTAATAGACAATCCATATTTTGAACTTGATAAGATTCAGTTATCAGTCACCAGTCTTTCAGCTGCAGGATTCAGAACTGGAAGACAGCCAATTAAGCTAAAATGGCTCTTAACTTTGACAAAAACGAGATCATTACCGGGCGATGTGGAGTTTATATTCTTCAGAAATTTCTGGGAAACGGTGCTTTTGGTGCGGTTTACAAGGGTTTAAAACAGGGAACAGCTGAAGCAGTGGCTCTGAAGTTTATCACCATGGATGACCGTGACTCAGCTCTCAGAGAAATCAATATATTGTCAGAACTCAGAGAACTCCAGGACCACCAGAACAATCTGATTAAGTTCATCGATTTCTTTGTTTACAATGGTGTCTTCTGTTTAGTGTTTGAGATGCTAGACATGGACTTATATGACTTACTGAAAATGAGACAGGAAAAACCACTAGATGTCAGTGAAATTCGGGTGGTTGCCCACGACCTGCTGGTGGCTCTGAACGCACTGAAGAATGCTGGAGTGACTCACGCAGATATAAAACCAGACAATATTATGCTGGTTAATCATCATTCGCAGCCTTTCAGAGTCAAGCTGATAGATTTTGGGCTTGCTATGGAAACACACGATCTACGGAACTGTGACGTCATACAGGTGTGTGGTTTCAGAGCACCAGAGGTGAACTTAGGTCTCCCTCTGACTGAAGCCGTTGACATGTGGGCTGTTGCCTGTACACTGTCCTACATCTTTCTTGGAGATTTTATTCAGAATCCTATTTGTGAGTTTAACAATATGAGGCAGATCTTTAAGCTCCACGGTCTGCCTGACCAGGATTTACTTGGCAAGGGAACAAAAGTGGACCGCTTTTTCATTTTTGACCAGTCAAACCAAACTTGGAGATTTAAAGCACCACACGAGTGTACAGAGATGATAATGACTGATATCGATAATGAGTTAGACTCTATCGATGACTTTTTAACGATTCATCCAGAAATACAAGACCCCCTTGAGTTAGAAGATCTGCAGTCATTCATAGACCTCCTGAAAAAGATGTTTACAGTGAATCCCTCAGAGCGTATCACTCCAGAAGAAGCTCTAAATCACAGATTTATAACAATGAGCCACCTTCCTCCTACCAGCAATAACTCATATGTGATATCGGCATATGAAAAAATGAAAGTTTATCGAATGAAGAAAGAAGAACCGATCATATCCCCTGATTTCAGTGTAAGACAGACTGCTGACAGAAAATCAGATCTCTTTGATTTTAATCCATCTGATTATGATCTGTCGGACTCAGATCTCTCTGAATTAGAAGATTCTGACTCTGGTCTGTTTGAATCTGGTCTGTCTGACTTTGATTTATCAGATTCTGATCTGTCTGACTTAGATACAGATGAAGAATGTAATGAGCCAGCGAACACATCAGATTTTCAACTCCTTAAGATTCAGGAAGCTAATTTATCAGATGTGAAGCTGAACGATTCAGACCTGGAAGGCAGCAGAAGAGACAGACTAGATGAAACATCGTTTGAATTATACAAAGATCAAACAATCACTGGGGAATCAGGAGTTTATATTGTTCAAAAATTTCTGGGTCGTGGTGCTTTTGGACAAGTGGTCAAGGGTTTAAAACAGGGGACAGATGAAGTGGTGGCTCTCAAATTTTTCCACAAAGACGACAGTGAATCAGCTACCGGAGAAGCCACTATATTGAACCATCTCAGGGAGCTCCAAGCTGACCAGAAGAATCTGATTAAGTTAATCGATCACTTTGAATATAATGACAGCTTCTGTTTAGTGTTTGAGATGCTAGACATGGACTTCTATGACTTACTGGAAATGAGACAGGAAAAACCACTAGATGTCAGTGAAATTCGGGTGGTTGCCCACGACCTGCTGGTGGCTCTGAACGCACTGAAGAATGCTGGAGTGACTCACGCAGATATAAAACCAGACAATATTATGCTGGTTAATCATCAGTCGCAGCCTTTCAGAGTCAAGCTGATAGATTTTGGGCTTGCTATGGAAACACACAATCTACGGAACTATGACGTCATACAGGTGTGTGGTTTCAGAGCACCAGAGGTGAACTTAGGTCTCCCTCTGACTGAAGCCGTTGACATGTGGGCTGTTGCCTGTACACTGGCCTACATCTTTCTTGGAGATGATATTCACAATCCTATTTGTGAGTTTAACAATATGAGGCAGATCTTTAAGCTCCACGGTCTGCCTGACCAGGATTTACTTGGCAAGGGAACAAAAGTGGACCGCTTTTTCATTTTTGACCAGTCAAACCAAACTTGGAGGTTTAAAGCACCACACGAGTATACGGAGAAGATAATGAACGTTAGCGAACGCCGTGGTAATGAGTTAGACTCTATCGATGACTTTTTAACGATTCATCCAGAAATACAAGACCCCTTTGCGTTAGAAGATCTGCAGTCATTCATAGACCTCCTGAAAAAGATGTTTACAGTGAATCCCTCAGAGCGTATCACTCCAGAAGAAGCTCTAAATCACAGATTTATAACAATGAGCCACCTTCCTCCTACCAGCAATAACTCATATGTGATATCGGCATATGAAAAAATGAAAGTTTATCGAATGGAGAAAGAAGAACCGAGCATATCCCCTGATTTCAGTGTAAGACAGACTGCTGACAGAAAATCAGATCTCTTTGATTTCAATCCATCTGATTATGATCTGTCGGACTCAGATCTCTCTGAATTAGAAGATTCTGACTCTGGTCTGTTTGACTCCGGTCTGTCTGACTTTGATTTATCAGATTCTGATCTGTCTGACTTAGATACAGATGAAGAATGTAATGTTCAAAAATGTCTGGGTCGTGGTGCTTTTGGACAAGTGGTCAAGGGTTTAAAACAGGGGACAGATATACTCAGATCAAAATTGAAGAATGCAAAATTAGTTACACTACTGTGGATACAGAGGAAGATTCTCAGGAGGAAACTTCAAACTTAGCATTCAAAGTTTTAGCGTTTAGTGTTATTGTTTCAAGTTCAATTCAAATTTATTTATATAGCGCCAAATCACGACAAGAGTCGTCTCAAGGCACTTCACATAATAAACATTCCAATTCAGGACAGTTCATTAGGCCAATCAGAAATAATTTTTCCTATATAAGGAACCCAGCAAATTGCATCAAGTCGCTGACAAGTGGAGAGGAACACCCCCTTATAACAGGAAGAAACCTCCAGAGAATCCCGGCTCAGTATAAGCAGCCATCCTCCACGACTCACCGGGGAACACGAGAAGGCAGAAAACACACACGCACGCACGCACACACACACACACACACACACACACACACACACACACACACACACACACACACACACACACACACACACACACACACACACACACAGTGTTTAGTTTTAGCGTTCTAAAACTGGGTTAGGCCATGACAGGGTTGGGGTTGGTTGGGTTCGTAATAAAGTAAACAAAAAAAAAAAAAAAAAAAATATCCTCTACTATTAATCGCCACCTTATCGCGGTGTAGGGGTTTGCGTGCCCTGATGACCCCAGAAGGTATGTTGCCTGGGACTGTTTGTCCCTGTTAGGTTCTGCCATGGCAACTGGGCTCTGGGTCAGGGGCCAGACTAAGAGCGATTATTCATTAATTCTTATTAGGACTACAAAAGCAGTGGAGAAAAACTCTCTCCCAAGACTTTTTAAATGATTGAGTTTTAGTAGGTATGTAGTTGGTATAAAAGAAAAGTTTTCACAGAAAATATTTTCCGTTATCTAGATCAGTGGTTCCCAATCTGGGGCTTGTGACCCTCCAAAGGGGTCCCCACAACTGTGTCTGTGCTGAGGTTGTTGGGTTACAAAGATTATTTATTATTTGTAAAAAATTACTCTTCTAAAATCCCAATTACACGCCCAACAGTGTAATCAAAAATCTGTATAGGAGTTACAACACCGCATGTCTGTGCAGTTTGTAACTAATCACTTGTGATGTGTGTTTGTAGATGGGGTTGGGGGGGTCCTGGATTGTTTTCAACACTGGTACGGGGGTCTTCATGGTAAACGGTTGGGAACAACTGATCTAGATGAAATATGGTGTTTACTAATTAAAAAACTATAGAAATTTTAAAGTAGTATATTTTATTCTGAAAGTATTTATAGAAAGTGCCAGTCGTCTTGTTTAGCTTGACATAAACGCTGTGGTAACAGCTTCTGTCCGCAAGAAGGTGAAAAAATCATTCATCGTGAAAGTCAGACATTGAAGGGTTTTCTTGTTTCAACCATCGACATATGGTTTCTACCCAGTTGATCTGAAAAATTACGTATAAATCCCTTCAATCAAATGCTGATTACAAATAAACCAATTAAAAATCAATTTAGACAGAAACATGTATACAAAAGTATTTCTATTTGTTAATGCTTATTTTTGTGCATTTTGTTTAGAGTTTTATTTCTGAATTTCAGAGGTTATTTTTAAAGTTATTGATGAAACAAGGACCAGTAAGTAGACTGGATGCGGTCAAAACTCCAGAAGATGGCAGTAATGCAGCTCTGCTGCTAAACAGCTCTTTAATACCAGGACCGTCAGCTTTAAAACAGGTGTTTATTATAAAATAGTCACCTGTGTCAGTATGTTTTTAAACTACTGAGTGTGACTTTTATGTTGTGGTTTATTAACAAAAGATAAATGGTTAATACGTTTATTATAAGATTAAACTCAGACACATACAGGATTATTGATGTTTCACAGATAATTTCAACTACTGTGAATATTTGATAACAGTTTCATTCTGATCATGATTCGTTTCAGCCCCAAACATTCCGAGGACGAGGACGTTCTGCAACGTGCTACCTGATGGTGACCTGCAGTCGCGAGGACAATAGAAGCTCCGGGTGTTTGTGGAACATCAGAGCTTGTGTGTGTGACAGAGCGTGTGTGTGTGTGAGTGGAAGGTGAGTCTGTAACAGTAACTGGTCTGGCTCAGGTCAGGATGTGAGAACGTGTCCATGAGTTGAACCTGCTCCACCGTCCCTAAGCTGGCCTCTCGGATTGCTGCGTAGAATTTCTTCTCCTCCCACGATGGTCCAGTCCAGAAACTGATATCGAAGCTGAAAGGCTCTGGGTGCAGAGAAAAAGGACAGAAAGGCGTCCCGGGAGGTGGGCCATGTGAAAACTGTCTTATGAAACGTGGCTCGTGAGCAGAGGTGGAAAGTAACGAATTACATTTACTTGCGTTACTGTAATTGAGTAGATTTTTTGCGCATTTTTACTTTTTAAGTAGTTTTTAAAATCTGTAATTTTACTTTTACTTAAGTACTGTTTTTTGTAAGTATTGTATTTCGCTACATTTTTATCTTATCCGTTACCGAGTAAAAAAAACCAACATTGCAAAATACTGTGTCGGCACGGTTCGCACTGGATTCAGACATAACCACAGAGAAGAGAGACGAGAGTATAAACACTCATAGGCGGAGATCCCAGGGGGGACGGGGGGGATGCGTCCCCCCCTCACACAAAGTTGTCCCCCCCACAAAAGTTATTGTAAACACATAAATGCTATCAGTAAACCTGTATTTTCTTCTAAAATCACAATGTAAAAGTTAGTCTGCAAATACAAAACAATGTGTTTTTAATTGTTGAGAAATTATAGTGTTCCCCCCCCAAATCCCTCAAGTCGGTACGGTCGGTCCACACACACTGTTTCCAACGGGCGGGGCTGCCGGCTCTGCCTCGCTCACAGCTTCACAGAAGCCCGCAGGCTTACAGGAGGCAGGAATCAAAAAGCCAGTGGTTTCCAGCAGTAAGTCATTTATCACACTCTTGCTCTACAAACTTAAATATGTATGTCAAATGTGGTCATAAATGTCAAACATAGACACCGATTATCTTTAGATTTTGATCACCGGTCGGAGATCCCTTTATGACAGACCACCACCACCACAGTAAAAACAAGTTGTCACTTCATGTTCTCTGGTCATTCCAGGATTATTCCACTATTATTATTCCATTCACTAAGGTGATCAAAAGTTCCTTTTTCCGGACACGTACGCTTCCACGGTCTGCCCCTGGAATCTGCAGAGCATTTATAGATCGATGAAAATGTTCGCGTTTCATCCTATTTAGCTGATGAATATGGTAAAATCAAAACTTACTGGTCCGATGTATGGAAAACCACAGCTTTTGACCACTCTTATCACGTCTTCCCCAGGCTCTGCAGTTGTTTACAATATGTCAAAGTGCAGGTGCACCGTGCAGCTTAGGGATGAACTGGTTGCAGCAAATGTGTGGTGGAGGCACGTTGCTCAAAGCTCTCAGTGTAAAACATAGAGCCAAAGATCCTGTTGGCCACAGACCCAAAAACACTATGAAAACTGAGAAAAGTGAGAGATCGATTAAACTGAAAGATAAACTATAGAGTATGTATATGTTTAGTGTATTTGTAAAGTAAATGTTTTTAATTTTTATTATTAAAATGAAACAAATATTTCAAGAATATATTTTTAGATTTGGTGTATCTTTTCATTCAGTAGGACTTAGATAAAGTTATTAAATATTACAGAGTTATTTTCTAACAGCCTACAAACATTTCTATGATTTATTAAAGATATTTCAGTCATTTTGATTCTTGACTCGTGAAAGCTGATTTGAAGTTTGTTATTTTTTCTAGCCATATTTAGGAGGAAAATTTCAAATATATTAAAATCAATATGGAACTATTTGGATTTTAGTAGCTTTCATGTTATGTGATTTAATAAAATTTTTATTTGACATTTATGTTCTCTCTCTTTGTTGTGAAAAAGTTAGATATGTTTTAGTACTTAAAATTAATGCTTTGCATCCGTCCACACGTGTAGCTGCTGGTCAGCTGATAGCCATGTCATTTCAGGACATGTTGCTTCAACTATTAACGATCTACTTTTAAATCTTTATTCTGAATTGCTTATTCCGTTTTAGGCCACAGTCTTGTTATTGAAATGAAAACGAAAAGAAAGGATGCTTATGGAGATGTACAAAATTGGCAAGATATTATTGTTGATCAATATCCTCCAGCTCCGTTCAACTGACAATATCCCATCTGTGTGTGTGTTGCTTCCAACTGTCAGCAGACCAGGACAGTTGAAATGGCAGAGAAACGAAAAACGGCAGACATCAGGTCATTTTTTAATGCTCCAGAACGTCAAGTAAGTAGAAACTTGCATTTTGATAAAGGCATCTATAAGAAAGAAATGAAATAACTATGAAATTGTTTTTAAATGGTTTCATTAGGCAAAGTCCAATTATGGGGAATTATGACACGTCTCTAAATAACAACCCATAGAAGCACTGATTTGATCTCATTTCAGAGAAAAATAGAACAGGTTAGATGCACCTAATAAATAAAATGACTAACAAACTCAGGAATCAGTTTCTTTGCTTCACTGTTCTGGTGCTGAAAATATCACTAATGCTGATCGAAGGAGATACACAGATAAATGCACCTCTTATTTATTATTTGGAGACTACATTTACTGCAGCTGGCAGAGGCAGAGATTTTTTTTATTGATACAGGGAATTTACAGAATCATTTTAAATTTTAATAGGGGAAGACTGCAGGAGGGAGCGGTAAAATACAGGGGGTCCCCAGCAAAAACAAGAAACTTCACGAGTCAGATGAAACCCGCTGGTTTTCCATCAGGCAGTCACGGGGCAGCTCCAACGACCCAGTGTGGCTCTGCTGGGTCAATGTTATCGAGCTCAGTCCGGCTCGGCCGTGAACGAGCCGAGGCGACGTCGTGCTCCGCTTAAGAAGAAGTGTTATTTTCCCGCTTCAGAAGAAGCGTCCAACGTGTTTTTACGCTTTCTCCGAGACATGTCACGTCGCTAAGTTGTTAGCGCCGCGCGCTAAAACGTCAATAGTGCAACGTAGCCTGCTGGAGGTTTTAAGGGTTCAGATGAAACACCCGACCTCTCACGCTGCTCACACATCGATCTTAAGTTGTCGCTGTTGCGCTCACGCCGTAATACAGTATTAGATGCGGTTAAAGTCAGACACGAAAAAATAAATAAATTTTACATGAATAAGTGATGCTTAGCCTGGTGGGGGGAGGAAAACCTGGCCTAATAAGCACTGGAGGAAACCCTGTCAAGATCGTCAACACTCGTTTATCTTAACGCTATTGAAACATGTAAACCAAAAAGCATTATATCCACTGCTACCTTTCTGATTTTAAACTCAGTAACTTATGCTGTAACTTCACCTTGCCCTGCCTGCTCCTCCTTGCTGCCTGGCGGCTGTGATCACAAGCGACAACATAGTAGTTCCCGCTGCTTCTTCGGGAAACAGCGCAAAACAAAAAATAAATAAAACTTGGGATCTTGTAGGCGTGGCGGTGGGATTTCAGCCGTGGCAGTCCGCCACGGCTACGCCTATGAAAGGGAAACCCTGAGTGCAGGGGCGGATTTAGCAATTTGGGGGCCCAAGGCGAACACAGACATGGGGCCCCTTACACTAAA